TATATATATATATATATATATATATATATATATATATATATATATATATATATATATATATATATATATATATATATATATATATATATATTAGAGCTATATATACCGGTTTGTAGAGGAAGAGTGAAATTCAAGGTCATGTACCTATATAGCCTATAATGTTTCACATTTATCCCGGCCAAAAGTTCCATGTATGCTGAAGTCCTACCTTTGTACATGCAAAAGAAAGGCTCTTTCGTTAACTTTTGCGTGCAGTGTTCCTTTTCTCACAGCGGTGCATGCCATGGCAGGACAACTGAAATGACCGATATAATGTCTCATTGGCTTTAAACCGCCGCTATAGTTCACGCGTTCACTTGATAAGTTCATGGGATGAATGTAAAACACAAATGCATTTCAGACCGGTCTCGGCTGTAACCTAGACCTTGGAACAACATGCATATGGTAACAAAAGCCATCTGAAAAAGATCTAGAAAATTGCTGGCAAGGGGAATAAATTGAAAATTTTGCGATTTTCGTACCGGTCTCATGCATGTATAAACATGTTGACAATTGATTTCAATTTTCATTCCGGTTTCAGTGACTTCGTCCCGGTCTCATGTAAACGGGGCCTTAGTATATACAATTTAAAACACGGGCTGGAGTTCTTAGCATTATTTCATAGTATAACACGAGAGCGCAGCTCGAGTGGTATATATCTGTATGATAAAGCATGCATGGACTGCGAGACGTGCAAGTGTTTTACCTAATTAAATGGCTTAAAAACCACCCATATCTGATGAGTTAGCGAAATGATTTTATAAATAAACGTTGTCTAAGCCAAGAAAATGAAAGCTAAAGTTTATGCATATTAACATTGACTTTAATCATATCACATATAAAAACACCGACATGTACACGGCATGCATATGGCCGGCACTATGGCAGTGAAATCCTTTGTATGAATAGATTATTATGAAGCTTTGATAAGCCTTTTGATCGAGCTACATCTGCAAATGAACAAATGTTTTCTGTATTATTGAGAGTTTTTTACCGAATTATCCTGATCTCTTTTGTTATCCTAGCTTCTCTTACCATTTGCCCTGCTATAGCGGAATTTTATATCCCATGAATGACTGTCTATACCCCTGTTTTTGCAGACTTTACTCATACAAGTAAATTAAAGACTCAATAAAGTGGGACTTTATAAAGACGAATCTTGATAACTGTATATAATTCTTCAATAACCATTATAGTCGATTTCACAAAATTTTCCATGACCACAAATGTTCCGAACTTCGCCTCGCAAGTTCGTCGCGAAGTTCAAAAGTTCATATATTAATGAGATTCACAAACCAGTTTGTAAACAACGCATTTGATTGGCTTCTTTTACTACAGGGACTAACATTTGCATCCGATCTTTATCTGATATACAAACTTGCTGCTCACGTTTTAACTATATATAGTACGTAATATATTCCTGTACAGCAGTAAACAATCTTCGCGGGAGACTAGACTGAGAAAAAATTTTTAATTCTGCATGATTTTGATAATTGATGGAATATTAAAAGACGTCAAGCAGAGCAGTTAAAACAACTTCAGCTCATTATCTGCTGGAAGATTCATGAACATAACATTAATTTAAAATAGCTGTATCAAAAACATTGATCAAAGAAGCTAAAATCTGCATTGACCATTGTCATTGGTATTTTTGGTTACAACTTGATATCTGTAAGTACACACATACACATCTTTTCTTGTTATAATTTTTTTATTATAGGAAAGGCTTCAAAACGATGTTAAGTCAATAAGTATTCAGGCATACAGGCACAGATTAAATGCTTTCACTTTCTTGTATTCGCAATAACATTCTGATGCAATATTTTAACAAATGATGCCTAGTTTAAGACCGTTAGTACGGTTATGCAATTTTGCCGTCTTATTACGATACAAATGATGCCTGTTTTAAGACCGCATTTTTTATGCAATTTTGCTCTTATTACGCGTAATAGGGTAATAAGCATTGATACTAGCTATGTATAGGCAAAGTGACAAAGGTAATAGGGTATTAAGCAATGAGAATAGTACAAAACAAAATCTGAAAACATATTCTACTGGAGAAATCCAAGATATTGATTAAAACAAGAATACAGACAACTGCATGGGAATAGGCTTGAGAGTAAACATAGTTTACTAGACGATTCTAAATGTTAATATAATACTAACTGCATTTGGGTTAGGTATGATCTATGAACGTATGAAAGTTATAACTGTTAATTAGCATTGGCGTCAATGCTCTGCTGTGACCTATATATTGATATATATAGACCTGTTATAAAATGTTCTTAATTTAAAGGACAATGGCAACAAATTTTTTTATTGTCTGTATTTATTAAGCTTACTAATGGAATACTTAATTTCATATTTTTGTTTGTCCATTGCATTTAGTTGTTCAGATAATTTGCGAAAATGTTTAAAGGTGATGTAAAGTCCGTAATGTAAACAAACGCTTTGTTTACATTTTGAACTCACTGCTACAGTTGTAAAATACGATTAGATATATATTATACTGAATTTTTAACACTTTTCTGGTTCGTTATGCTTGTAAATGAATACAGACTAGAGATTCAATTCAAGAAGTTCGGAAGGTGCGAAATATTAACAACATTCCAAAGGTTGCTCCCCCACTGATGGAATGTTTTGATGCGCAGAATATATGCGCAGAACGGACTTTACCGCATCTTTAACAAATTTAACAGTCGTCCGCCATCTTGGGAAAATTCGCGTATGCTAATTTATGCATGAATACATTTATTTATGCATGAATACATTTCGTGACGTAGATGGCAGGGTAAACGCAAATCCCACAGCCATGATAAGCACAGTATAAGTTACACTGTAACAACGTTGAGATTTGGAAGAAAATGTTTACAAAAAAGATACAGCCGTTGCAACGTGTATTCATAGTTCAATAATGTGTAGCAACTTACTACCTATGGTCTGTGATTGTGTTTTCGACAGTAAGCGTATATTTGCGTTGTAAAATGCGCTTAGACATTGACTCCGGTTATGGTAGTTCTGCTGTTCCAATTACATATATCATGTATTCCAAATGTATGTATATATGTATAGCATATACATTTATGTATGTGCATGCTATGTTGCAGAAATATAGAAATAATTTGCGTAGAAATAAAAGATTCTACTGAGTATTTAGTGTTTCAAAGTGTTATTATTATTAATACAAAAATAATTCAACCAATTAACTGGCGGAACTGCAACAATGTTGCAGTGGATAATTCTAGCTTCAGATTTCACAACTATTAATTGTTTTTAAAACTAAGCAGGCTTTCAAACGACATTGCTATGCTAGTTAAATAGCTGTTATCTCACAAACAAGATTTGCCTCTTCTGTAATGTGTAGTGTCGCGCAAGTTAGACATTGCGCAAATTAGTAAATTGACATTCAAGGTCAGTTATGGGATTTTCCCAGACAAGAGATAAGTGTAAAATAACTATAATCTGGTTATATGTTGTGATGTATTTTTACATGTAGTTTTACTTGGTTCTCATTTTATATAGGTAAATATATGCATGTACTGTAGTGTATAGTTCCCAATATTATCAATATTTTCATTGTTATGTAAAATACCCTAAATTCACGTGTGGGAATATATATATATTTATTACCAAAATTGCAAATATTATATATAGCAAATCGGTAGATCAGCAATATAGGAGAAAAGCGTGGATTGAATTCTGTATAAGCGCAAACCATTAAACCATCGTCGCCACTTCATTTTGCCGAAGACGCGTATGAACAAGGACAGTCGCCAAAGTTTTTAAAACGAATACAGTGCAATGAAACGTTTAGAATACAATTGAAAAGGGAAGCGTTGCCAAGTAATAACTTTACTTACAGTACATACTAGCTTTAATTGCGCCATTGCGGTATACTATTTCTAATTTTGCAATTAGCAAAATGTGATAATGAAGATAAGGAGCTAATCCTCATAGGAGATCTAAATTGTGATGTCAGTAAAACTATACCTGACCCTCACACATGTAAGTTGCAATTTTTATGTTCTCTGTATCAGATAGACCAACTTATTAAAGAATCTACAAGGCTAACTCCTAAATCAGCTACACTAATTGATTTAATATTAACAAATAGACCAGAAAATATTTCCAGATCAGGTGTCATTCACCTGGGAATTTCAGATTACAGCCTTGTCTACGCTGTGAGAAAATTTACACTACCGAAAGGAAGGCAAAAAATTCGTCAGGTTCGTAACTTCAAAAAGTTTGTCGAAAATGATTTCATTCGGGATGTGTCTCAATTGCCTTGGGAGATGGTCTATCAGTTTGGAGATCCCAATTTATGTTGGCAAGTCTGGAAATCACTATTATTAGATGCACTTAATAGACATGCCCCTCTGCGCCACAAGCGAATAAGGAATAACCCTGTCCCATGGATTAATCCTCAAATTAAAGAACTTATGAGAAAAAGGGACTATCACAAAAAAAAGGCCATAAAATATGATTCGGAGTCACAGTCGGAATTGTATAAAACACTACGTAATGAAGTAAATATAAACATGCGGAAAGCAAAATCTAAGTACTTTTGTGATAAAATCCAGGCAAGCTCTCAAATGGGAGACAGTAAAAGCGGATGGGCTTGGATAAATTCGCTCTTAGGAAGAAAGCATAAGAATGCAAATATTAATGAACTGAAAGTAAATGATGATATTATTTCTGATGATAATTCTATTACTGAAACATTAAATGAATATTTTATAAATATTGGAATGAAGATGGCTGCTGAATCAGCATGTCAAAGCACTGATGCTTTAAAGGATCAAGTAATTTATGAAAGTACTGTGCTTCTTCCTAAAGAATATTTTCACTTCGCAGATATTACTATAGATAGTGTTTCCAAACGCCTACAAAAACTAAATGTCTCAAAAGCGACAGGTATGGATGGAATAACTGTGAATATTTTAAAACTGACATCAACCCTTATTGCTCCATCTATAACTTTTATATTTAACCTATCGATTAGAACTGGTATTTATATAGATGAGTGGAAATTAGCTAGAGTTATACCAATTTACAAATCTGAGGATAAGCGTAAATGCGAAAATTATAGACCAATTTCAATTCTTCCCATAATAAGTAAAATATTTGAAGGGGAAGTTTTTACTCAAATATATAGCTTTTTGAATAACTACATGCGCTTCTGTCTAAATTTCAATCCGGGTTTAGACCAAAACATGGAACCTTAGGTGCTCTTATACAAATGTGTGATCAATGGCTACAAGACATGGATGAAGGCAAAATAAATGGAGTTGTTTTTCTTGATATATGTAAAGCATTTGACTCGGTGAATCACGAGATATTATTGGAGAAGCTTAAAACCCAGTTTGGAATTCACGACATTGAATTAAAATGGTTCCAATCATACTTAAGGAATAGAAAGCAAGTGTGTTCTGTTAATGATCAAACTTCTTCTGCAAGAACAATAATATGCGGAATTCCGCAAGGATCCATACTTGGTCCATTACTGTTTTTGCTATATATTAATGATATGCCTGACATTTTAGAAAGGACAACCCCATGTCTTTATGCCGACGACACTCAGATATCTTCCTCTTCGCATGATTACGATACATTGATTGACAATTTGAATATGGACCTTTCCAGTATTCATAAATGGCTTGCTAAAAACAGACTAAAATATCATAGGAAAAAAACAAAAGTCATGTTTATTGGATCTACGCATAATCTAAATAATAAAATAGGAAATAGACCCGTTGAGATTAACAAAATCCCAGTCCCACAAACCAATACATTTCAATGTCTAGGTGTAAATCTAGATGAAAAATTAAGTTGGGAGAAACATATTGATTCTGTATGCCATAAGATTAGCGCTGGAATAGGAGCAATTAAAAGAATAAAACCTTATGTTCCACACAAAACCTTACATGATGTCTACAAAACATTAATTCAGCCTCATTTTGATTACTGTTCTCCCCTGTGGGATAACTGTGGTTTGGGACTTCAAGACAAATTGCAAAAATTCCAAAATCGAGCAGCAAGGGTGATTACCGGAGCTGACTACGATGTAAGATCGTCTGAAGTCCTAAACAAATTAGGCTGGGAAACCCTGGCTAGGAGACGAGAACAAAACAAGCTAGTATTGATGTATAAAGTCTTGGGGAACCACACTGCGCCAAACCTTAAAGATCTTTTTTCTCGGAGAAATGCATCGCAGAATATTTATGATTTACGCAATAGCGAAACTGATCTCTCGTTAAAAAAACCGAACACGGAATTTCTAAAGAAAACATTTGGATACAGTGGAGTAATTCTATGGAATAGTCTCCCGCAAGATTTCAAGGCGGCTGAGTCAATTACGTCATTTAAAACAATGGCGAAATTGCATTTAAGCAGATGATAAGCTAATTTCTCCAGGACCAAATGATGGGAGGACAATATAGATTGTGGGCGGGAGGGGGGTTAGTTTTGCGTGAGGGTGGGTGGGTACTTGTTTAGGGGGTGGAGGTTTGGGAGAAAGATGATAAAATTTTAGGGTGGGATTCTTACATATTTTGTTCTATATATAATTAACATTTCGCTCTTTGTGTGTATACGCCCTTCGTGGAAACCAGTTGTAAATAATTGTCGAAGTTAGCGTATTGAAATAAAGTTTTACATACATACATAAAAAGACACAAAACAGCGCACGCGGCACGCATTATACGCGTGCACCTAATATACAATATTTAACGGCATGGTCTACATTAAATACACCGTTGAAAATAAAGGAAATCCATTAAATAAATGATTATAAGTAAACCACAAACCAAAGGTCCAAGACGCATGTAGAGGTCCTATATTTATACCTACCCCAAAATTAAAATATTGCTTGTTTTTCTACTACTTCTGGTTCATATTGGTATGATAACACTTCTCCTACTTGGTTCTCGTGAATATTTTCCATTAAAATGACTCAAAAGCATTAATTTTTTGAGAAAACGTATTAAATCTCAATACACGCTATACAAAAATATATTGTTGTTTTGATTCTACCCTGCCATCTACGTCATACGGGTCATATTACCCAAAAGATAATTTTTCGCAAATACGAGCCAAGATGGCCGACGATATATAAATTAACAGTGAAACAACATGCATATAACTCCTGAACAAAAATGTTTGACACGGTATTAATATCATATTTATAGTTAGATGAAGCAACACTTTTAATATAGACAATAAAAAATTTTGTTGCCATTGTCCTTTAATTAATGTTGAGTGTCAGTATATATTCTTCGCTACCAACGATCGACCAACTAGTTTCAGGTAGACGTGAAATTTTTGCTTGTCTTGATTGTGAATCGACCAAGCGCGCAATCTCGGCGTTTAATAATAAGATGTTGTTTAAGGTGCCATTAGCCTACAATTACTGCGATATTATAAAATGAAAAATTAATCGGGTGATATATGGCGATATCATAATCCACTCCGATGAGTAATATGACACTGCATGTAAGAAAATTTTGGACGGAAATTGGATAGTGTCTAAAAAGTTATATTGATGTATTGGGTCATTCCAGAAAAGATCCATACCACCCCACGGAGGAAATTGAAAATAACCCCCTCCCCCCCTTCGGACATCCTTGAATGGTTCATCCTCCCCCCTCTCCGGACGTCAAAGCCCAAAATTACTCCCCTCCCCTTCGGACATCCACTATTTCTAAATTTTTCTAAAGGCTACCTCGCCGTTTGAAAACGTCACCGAAAATTAGACTACGTTCACACTACGCGCGAGCGAACTAATGCGGGCAGAATTTACGTGTGTTCACACTACGCCATTACAGTTTGTTTACAAATTAAATTAGCGCTCATATAAACCCAAAATATTTGAAATTGAGCTAAGAAATTTAACTGAAAAGCATTCGAGTTTAGGGGCGGACCATTAGAAATCCCGGAGTGGGGGGGGGGTGAAAATTCAAAAAAAAGAAATTCGTGCAAAGAAAAATGCCTGGGAAAAAATTCGTGCAGCCATTACGTCAGAGAAAAAAAAATCGTGCAAGCAAACAGCAAAGTACAAATAGTGTTGAAATAAAATTCGTGCAGAGGTTAAATGCATTAAAAAAAAACCTGCAGGGACATGAGACTGAAAAAAAGCTATCAAGCGCTTCGCTTTCACCTCGCTCCGTTTAGAAACCGTGGTCAAATTGTTACGGCAAAAGTGACGTGAAAGTTTTCAAACGATTTTTCTCCAGCGTAGTGTGAAAGCGATGGCTTATTGTGACTTTTCTACACTGTTTTCAAATAGCTCTGGCGGAACACTTGGCGGCTTCTTGCGAACACAAACACGTGGCAGGTTTTGTCGGATAATTTGCAGAAATTCACTTCGAAATTCGATCAAGTAAAATCAGTCGGACTGAAATTCGATGTAACTTGCGACTGATTGACAAGCGTTGCTGTGTTTACTTAGGGACGGACCGTTTGATTTTTCATGGGGGGGGGGGGCGCAAATCCGAAAAAAAATATCGAGCATGTCTCGAATGGAAGAAAAAAAAATCGAACATCACTCACACCAGCAAAAAAAAATATCGAGCACAAAAAAATTCTAAATTAGCAATATTCTATATTGAAAGAAAAATTCAGTTTCCCTGAGTTTTTTTTCTGTTGAGTGTTTCGGTTCTGCCTTGGTTAACAATACCGGAAGTATACATGCAAAATACAAACCGATACAAACCAGTTCTGACAACTTTGACTTCAATAATTCAATTATCCACAAATTACCTTAATGGTATCCCTAAAAACCCCAATCTTAACACTGAAAGTCCCACACTTCTGTAAATACGACATCGATTAATGAGGGTGGGAAAGGGGGGGAGGGGTATGATTCACGTTTCACAACAAAAAAAAACCGTTTCACAATTCACGTGCCATAAAAAAGCAATTTCACATTTCACGGATAACGAGACTCTAATAAAAATAATATAATAATAATAGCTTTAAGATTATGTTTAATGCATGGTACAGTACTACGCTTTAAGTTATCTTCTCTGCCTGGCAGTTGAAAACTACTTACAAGTTTGAGTGATGAGTACGTCCGACGATCTCCGAAAGGCCTCCGAAGTTTCTACTCTTGTGCAATCGAGTGAGATCGATCATATAAATTATATTATAAAATAGATCGGAATAAACAAATCAAAATCACAGTTCACGAAACAGAGATCCTTAATTCCCATTTCACGGAGCATTTTTATCGACAATCACGCCTCACGGCTGTAGAACAAATCACAGATCATGACAGTAAAATCAAGCATTTCACACGATCAAATATTGACCATTCACGCAGTTGGCGTAGGGGGCTCAGCACCCTCCCCCAATAGGCTGAAGGACTGCCCTTGTAAAAAGATGAAATCCGGGTAGAAATTAGGGGGGGGAGACGATGACTACCCATATGACTACCAATCTCATCTGTTCACCAAATTGTCTATAAAAGTACTAATCTTTCCTAAATCTAACTACAGAAAATAATGCCTATGGTGGTTAAGTTGGTTAAAATGCGTTTTAAAACTTCGATTTAACTATTTACACGCGACCAAGTAAGCTTCGTTGAGTCAAATTAAGGATCCACATTATTGAGAAATCATTAAAAATCAGGTCTTTCCTGCAGTAAATAATCTTCAGAATTATGCAAAATCTCTCCCCAGAAACACGGGAAATCGCCATTGAGGGACTCCAGATTTCAAAATTTTCCCGGGGGAGAATGCCCCCGGACCCCCCTAAAAAGGCTTACATCTTCGGCGTTCCATATATGCCCTTCCAAAAATTATAGTCTGGCTACGCCACTGCATTCACGGGTCACAAAAATACCCTTTCCCACCCGGCTCATTAATATCGCTCTCTGATTCTGAATAAAAATCGCAGTTTATAATACGTATTGGGAACACTGATACGATTGGGAACCGTGAGAATTTGTATATAGATGCCATTACGCCAATGCAAAATGGGTTACACACTTTAATACACTTGATCCAATTTTGATTGGGGCTATGGTCTACATTTCGTAGACCATAGCCCCGTATAAAATGGGCCAAGTATAAAATTGGCCAAGTATAAAATGGGCTGTGATTGTTATATCATAGAATAGGAAGGTATACCAGAAGTCTCACTCAAGCAAGTATTTGTCCGCGTTTTTACAAGCGATTCGTCATCAATCACGCCATCCTGGCTAGTACAACCGGCACTTTGTACCTATCAAAACCTGATGAAAACTTCCGGCTGTACTAGCCAGGATGGCGTGAGCGAGTTAAAATTTTTGTGGGTTACACTTCTGCTATACTTTCCTATTTTGTGGTTATATGATGTATATTCAAATACATTCTTCAGCCGGAATATAACCATACGTGGATATTATTGTATTAACGCTATAGTAAAAATTTAAAAAAATATCGTGCACGCGGCAAGATTCGATAAAAAAAAATCGTGCGGAGTCGGTGAGATCCAAAAAAAAAGCGAGCACTCTCAAAAATGCGCCCCCATGAAAAATCAAATGGTCCGTCCCTTACATGTTAATGCATTTTTTAGTATTACTGGATTCCTTAACCTCGCCCTTAATATGACAGCCATTTCTATTTTGTAGACACGCACCTCGCAAGGAAGCTTTATTGACTATATACTAAAACAAATTATTTCGAGTTCAGTTCACATAGCAATCTCTTAATTCGAGCAACAGTTTAATAACTATTATTTTTAACACTTGAATAATTCAAACTTATATATACGAACGAAAACTGCAAAACTTTACTTTTATATAAATAAAGCGTGTCAATTTTCGACTCATTCTCAACATGCAGGATACGCTGTTACAGCGAGTTAGTTTTTGGTGGCCATGCATGCAAAAATGGGCCGCTTATTTTGCTTACGAGTTATGTGGACGTAAAATTATTGCTGTTACATAAACGTTCCCGTGTTTAAGAGCTACATATAACCGATAAAAATTGCGTGCTCATTATAATCGCCGATCACATAGTTTTATCACAGTCTCGATCAAACTTTCAGACAAACATATCCACATTCCCTTCCCCCCCCCTTCGGACATCCTAAGACATTTTTCCTCTCCCCCCCCCTTCGGACATCCTAAGATATTTTTCCTCCCTCCCCCTTCGGACAGCAAAAATTTCCTCCGTGGGGGGGGGATATGGATCTTTTCTGGAACGACCCAATTTCCTATCATTTACTGTTCCCATAAATTTTGGAGGTTATTTAATTTCTATTTAATTTCTATTTAGTCCTTTCTCATGTAATTATATCGTTTATCAATTTATGCTTTCTCTAAAGCGAATATCTAAAGTTGTTGAGTGATTGAAAACATATATAGCGAGTTGCTTATATTTTGATTTTTGAATATGAATATTTTCATATCTAAATAGTTGGAACCTTTGGCATGTCGTGTATATATATATATATATATATATATATATATATATATATATATATATATATATATATATATATATATATATATATATATATATATAAAAATATCAAGAAATCAAAAACTTCAAAGTAATTAAATTATATTTTTTACGTTTCGGGGACAAGCCCCTTCTTCAGAATAACGCTACATCATCTCCGTCTCTTGCTTAAATAGTCTAACGTTTAGCTATACATAAATTAATTAAACCTCTTCCCTTAAATTAAGCCCACGTGGGACATAACTATTAAGTTTCTCAATCCAAAAGCTCTCCCTCTCAGTGGGGTTATTAACGTCCGTGACGTCAATAACCTGCACTAAAAATCACTTAGATCTGAATGTCTCTCCCCCCAAAAATGGGCATACAATTGTTGCCCACAAATATTTCTCTGCCCCCGCCCATATCTATTTAATGCACTCTTGTGGTTATTAAATCGCAATCTGAACGGTGTTATGGTATTCCCCACATATTGCAACCCACAGAATTTACAACTAATCAAACACACTATACCTGCCGAGTCACAATCGAAGCGATGATTAATGCAGAAAGACCGCCCCTCAACATGGCTTTTAAAAGTAGCACCAATACTGACATTGTCACAGATTTTACATTTCTTCTTTCCGCACTTAAACATCCCTACGACCGTTTCCTCTTCCCTTCTCAATTTAGAACGGACTAAGTGATCTTTAAGGTTTTTAGACCGACGAAAACACACCATTGGTGGTTCCGGCATAACACTTAAAAACCTTTCAGACCAACTTACAATTACTTGCAATTCCCTAAAGATATTATAAAGGACCCTCAATGCTGGATGATAATCTATCACAAAACAGTTCCTATTACTATTCTTAACACCTTCTTTCCGCATTAACAAATTATTCCTGTCGACTTTTCTCACTCTACCAAACTGGTCATCAACAAAATCCGAATTATAGCCCCTTTATATATATATATATATACATATATATATATATATATATATACATATATATATATATATATATATATATATATATATATATATATATATATATATATATATATATATATATATATATATATATATATATATATATAATAACCCCACTGAGAGGGAGAGCTTTTGGATTGAGAAACTAAATAGTTATGTCCCACGTGGGCTTAATTTAAGGGAAGAGGTTTAATTAATTTATGCATAGCTAAACGTTAGACTATTTAAGCAAGAGACGGAGATGATGTAGCGTTATTCTGCAGAAGGGGCTTGTCCCCGAAACGTAAAAATATAATTTATTTACTTTGAAGTTTTATGATTTCTTGATATTTATATATATATATATATATATATATATATATATATATATATATATATATATATATATATATATATATATATATATATATATATATATATATATACAGGGTGTCCCAAAAAACCAGAAAACTATTGAAATCACTTATTGTTAAATTTGAATGCCCTACCAAACAGCTGGACGTAATGATGCGTAAAATATTGACAAGGCGCATGTATTAGAATTTAGTTAGGAATATCTCCTGGTAAAGTGCGCGATTTTCTGCTCCTGGGAATTAAAATCAGCTTCTTAAACAGTTTCTTGATGCATAAAATTTACTTATGTCAATCATTTATGCACTCGTGGGAACCAACAGAGCGCTAAGGCATTCAAATTCTAACAATTAAATTGTTATTGGTGATTTCAATAGTTTTCGTTTTTTTGGGGGACACCCTGTATATATATATATATATATATATATATATATATATATATATATATATATATATATATATATATATATATATATATATATATCATATAATCATATACAGTTTTGTTCTACCTGTAAGCCGTATATTATAGTTTGCAATATATATTAATTTAATTAATTAATGATCAGCGGAAAAATGGATATTTTTTAAAAGATCTTTGAACCGCTTTAATGAACTCTCTTTTTTCAAAACTTCAGGAAGAGAGTTCCACACTTTTGCGCCGGAGTAAACAAAACTTCTCTTGTAATATTCAGTTCGAATTAGTGGAAGTTCGAAGTTGAAGAACGAAGATCATAAAAATTGGCACCAGTTTCTGGTCTAAATAAACCTAAGAAACATGACGGTGCTTTAAGGTTTAATATTTTATGCATCATCACTGCTTTGCATTTTTGTCTTCGTTCACTCAACTTCTCCCCATCCTAATTCGTTTAATATATCACTGGACCTTCGCGAATAGTCGGCTCCAGTAATAATACGTGCTGCACGATTTTGAAGTTTTTGAAGCTTTAACGCCAAATAGTCACTGATGCCATCCCAAATTATACAACAGTAATCAGAATAAGGTTCTACAATAGCTCTATATACATTCATAAGATCGCACTTTTTCAAGACTTTTCTATTTCTACGTAGAAGACTAACGCCGATCGCTAATTTTTTAATTACGTTATCTATGTGCTCAGCCCATGTGAGAAATTCGTCTATTGTCACTCCTAAGCACTTAGTACTCTTAACTTTACGTAGAGATATATCATTAAGGGAAAGTGTCAGATCACCCACAAGTGAATTTATTCTTTGTTTTGAACCAACAACCATATATTCAGTTTTCACTGTATTTAAAGTAAGTTTGTTGGCTATAAGCCAGGATTCTAAATGTTCCAGGTCTTTTTTCATCTGCCGTTGAAGTTCAGAAAAAACACATCCTGAGAATGATACGTTAGTATCATCTGCATACATTCGGGCAGTACCATGATTAACAGAAGTCGTCAAATCATTTATATAAATAAGAAATAATAAAGGACCTAGAACTGAACCTTGGGGAACTCCACTTTTGACCTGCACTTTACCAGATAAATAACCATTAACATAACATTGTTGAGTTCTATCAGTAAAATATGATTTAAACCAATGTAATGTTTTATCACAGATTCCAAGAAAACTTAATTTGGTTAATAATATATTATGACCAACAGTGTCAAAAGCTTTTTTTAAATCTAAAAATAAGACACCATTGATCATACCTCTATCAATATTATAATACCACTGGTTAGTTAAATCCAGTAATGCAGTTACAGTTGAATGCAGTGACCTAAAACCGAATTGCCTTGAATTAATTAGATCAAATTTCATTAGATATGCATAAATCTGATTATAGACCAATCTCTCAAATAACGTAGAAATACCAAGCAAAACAGATATTGGTCTATAATTATTTGAGTCAC